TTCATGGAAGTATCAATGCTACAAATCAGTTAGATGAACTGTCCTAATGTGAAAAATGAGTTTGAAATACTTCACCTTTGATGATTAAGGGTAGAGAAGTATATCTAAGTACACCACTATTCTCTGTAAGAGGAACTAAAAGTTCGTTTGTCTTTTATGGGGATGACCAGTACCATGAGAAGATTGACACTCTAAGTGCAAAGCTTCGCGAGCAAAACTTATGTAAGCTTCAAAATTATCTCATGATTTTTTAGGGTGATTTTCGCTTTTGAAAATGTCAAGTTCAGTATGTCTCAATAACAAATCGTTTTACTGCTCCTTACAATAAATTCCCCTCCAATAACTTTTGCGCTATTTATTCACAATGTAGATGGTTTTTTTGAAAATTTTCAGCTGTTTCCTGAAGCTATACTATGGATATTGGAGAACATTTGATGCTGCTCGACCGAAAAGTAACCAAGAACGTGATGAACCCATGGATAATGCATTATAAGAAGGCCAATCCAGCATATATCCATGAGTAGATCGAGGGTGATGACCAAAGTACCAAATCAAACGGCTGAATGTTATCAAGAAGCTTCCGGGCAGCTAAAATGAGATTGCGTGAAATGCAACACATCACTCATACGATAAGTCTCATAGTACGAAACTCTTAACTAATTCATACATTATGTAATCTTTCTGTCATTACCCTCAATCTACTCATGAACATTGGCTTTACATAAATAAATTGCTTTATCAGTGATGCTTACTTTGATATATATTACCATTGCTACTGCTGAATGTAATTAGTGAACGAGCATGTTAAGAACTAAACTAGAGATTACCTTTTCTATGCGACATACATATCTATAGCTGAGTTTCCCAGTGTTGATTGTTAGGGGAGCTGTTTAGAAGTGCATTGGGTTTCAGAGAAAAAACATAACCACAGACGAATTAGTGGCTATGTTTGTATTGGTATCAGTATAGATAGAACAACATTTAATAGCAACTTCTTAATTTCTCCTCCCTCATTTATGGGATCATCTATCCATTCAATAACATGAGAACAAGGTTCACTGACAGAGATGAATAAGCCATCAAATTATTAGGTGTCGAAAGAAGTGAGATACTGAAAGAAACTTTCCACAACAAATTTATCTCACATAATTAGGGTGACAAATTTCAGAATCATAGGGGCAAACGAGAATGAAATATAGAGACAGAAATGAATTAGAGCAAAGGGTCAACAGATGCATAGACAACACTGGCTCCTTCCTTCCAAACATTCCTTCCTCTAGAGAAACTGCACAAGGAAAAGACAGATGAATGGTAGTATTAGAAACGTGTATATAAAGAAAGACAAACCTAATCACCTACTAAATAGAACCACAAAATCCAGTGTCCTGAACAGGCAATAGAGACAATACCAACTTCTCTTTGCATTTTCTAATAAAGAGCATAAGATTACTTTCACATTCTAGTAGATAACAAGCTCATAAAACCTATGGTCTATGCCTCAATCCTAAGTCCTAACATAATATTACCGTATGGAAAACTTCCAAGAATGAAGGACATTAATAACACTAGAAGGAAGCGCCCAAGCATGGGTCAACAGCAAAGCCGCCAAAGTAGTACAATAGAAGATGTGTAGTAGGCGCACATCGTGAGTTTGAATCTAGTCGTGGAATCGAATCTAGTATTTCAGTACAAAATAGTACAGTTGTTGGCTTTTATTCATTGAGTTTTAAGGCTAGCCACATCTAATTTCAACAACACCATACCTATTGTAATCCAATAAGTGAAGTCTGAGGAGGGTAGGATCTACTCAGACCTTACTCAAAAGAAAAGTTTTTGAAGCAGGAGCCAAAAAATATGGTAACAAAGAGCAAGATACAAAACAAATGAAGCAACAGATAAGTACTAAACACTAAAGAATGGGAGAATATGCGACTGCTAAATAATATTCCCTCTGTCCCAATTTATATGGCACTTTTCGGATTTCGAGATTCAAACAAGACTATCTTTGACCGTAAATTTTTTATATATGTTTTAATTATTTTGAATTGCCAATTATTGTGACTTATAGTACTTTTTACGTAGTTTACACATAAATTTCATTTAAATTTTTTTGAAGATTTCATGCGCAAATTTTTGGTCAAAAACGAAAAGTGCCACATAAATTGGGATAGAGGAAGTACTAGTACTGAGAAGAAAAAAGTAGGAGGGGTTCACCCCCTACTCTCCCACATAAAGTGGGACAATACTCGATTTCCTACTATCACTCAACTCTAATCCTCCACCACTATACCTGCCTGTCTAGGGTCAGATCCTCGGTAAGTTAAACTTGTGTCACTTGTCTAATCACTCCCCCCCTCCCCCCCAATTCATTTTTAAGCCTACCTCTACCTCTCCGAACTCCGGCCAAAACCAATCTTGCACACCTCCTTATTGGCGCCTCCACACACCTCCTTTTCACATGACAGAACTATCTCAGCTTTGCTTCCGTCATCTTGTCCTCCACGAGGGCCACTCTCACCTTACCTCATATAACTTCGTTCTTAATGATATCTGTCCTAGTATGCCCACACATCTATTTGAGCACCCTCATTTTCGCAACTTTTATCTTCTGAACGTGTGCATTCTTGATTGGCCAAGACTTTGCTCCATAGAAGTACAACCAATGTTAGTCTAATCTGACCACCACTATGTAGAACTTACTTTAAGCCTCGACAACACATACTTATCACTTAGTACCCAAAAGGGAGCTTCCATTTCACCTACCCCGCTCCAGTCCAATCCGATGTGCTCAATACAACAAGCACAAATCCTATGTCCCTTACCATATTACAACTAAACACAGAGGTCATCGTAAACACATAAACATAAGCAATTAAAAAGATTATCAAGTTGACCCAATAAGAAAACAAGTTTGTAATTGTTCTATTGCAAGATCAAGGCACACTCGCAAATGTATCTAATTTCCGAATTCAGACATGATTATTTTTAAAGCACATCATAGAATTGCAATGGAAATTAATTTATTAGCTTTCAGACTATTAATTTGCTTAAACGAAAAAAATTACCCGATTAGGAATCTAGAGCTCGAGCACAGGTTCTTCTTTCTGATCAGAAAAATAGTGAAGGATATAAGGGGTGATCCGAATTACGGCAACCCAAACTCCAAAGAGGGCCACATGAGTTCCCAGCTGCTTCAGAGCATCGGCCTTTTCAGGTTTACCCAACTTTGGAGGCATCGTTTCGTCTTTGCAGTTTTCTCTTCTCACAGCTTAAACCCTAGCCTAGCCTTGATTATTTCACCATTAATCAAACTTGTTTTCAAATATATGGACTACTAGGCCGGGTTTGGCATAAATCCTGCCCGTTTAGTTTACAATATCTTCCAAAATGTCGAAAATGATATTCAGTTAGGGGTGTCAAAATGAGCCCAAATATAAGTAATCCGCCCAGAATTTTATGGGCTGGACTCGAGATAATTTAATTAGGTTTAATCTCAACCCATTCAAGCCTTAACCATTTTTAAAGAACCTTCAATTGAGCCCAATTTAATATGCAATTTCAACCCGTTTTAAGACTCTTTATTTCCATTGATGTAATGTATGATCCTATATTGACTGTATGAATTACTATCTATTTTATATCGTCCTTGAACCTATGTTTTTAAATATCGTCCAGTGCACTGGATTCTGTTTTTTAAGATGAATTGCTAGCTTCCGATCAAGGAATTGGCTGCTCCAGCATCTGAATACTTGTAGATAGATGCAGATTTGCTATTATACATGCACATTTCTTGTCATGTTGTTATTAGAAATGTGCTACTTTGTTATAATTTCATATCCTTTTTGCCATCTTCTTTCCCTTTTTTCGAACTTTCCTTTTTAGGAGAGCCTGTAAGGTTATCAAATTATTTTAAGATATCAAGAAAACATTTGACATTGTCACTAAATATGCTAAGAATAAAACAATGAAAAGAAGTAGATTAACCATTTTACTTTTCATGATATCCTGAAGAGATTACCTGTTGTCGAGGGAAGTGATTTATCTGTATGAAGTCACTGTTGAATTGATGCGACAATGTATTTTTCTATACAAATATCTTATCATCCAAGCAAAGTCTTTTGGGAATGCTGCTAAATTGCTCACCCAACATGAATCAACTAGCTAGTAGTCTTTTAGACGCCGTATAAAACTTGAACTGGATTTATGAGGGCATGGAAGGGATCGGTTTGGTACACAAGTCAATGCTCTTGCATCCATATAATTCTTTCATGATTTTTAGGGTGATTTTCGCTTTTGAAAATGTCAAGTTCAGTATGTCTCAATAACAAATTGTTTTACTGCTCCTTACAATAAATTCCCCTACAATAACTTTGTGCTAATTATTCACAATGGAGATGGTTTTTTGAAAATTTTCAGCTGTTTCCTGAAGCTATACTATGGATATTGGAGAACATTTGATGCTGCTCGACAGAAATGTAACCAAGAATGTGATGAACCCATGTAGAATCCATGATAACAAGGCCAATCCAGCATATATCCATGAGTAGGTCGAGGGTGATGACCCAAGTACCAAATCAAACGCCTGAAATTATCAAGAAGCTTCCTGGCAGCCAAAATGAGATCGCGTGAAATGCAACTCATCACTCATACGATGAGTCTCATAGTACGTAACTCTTAACTAATTCAGACATTATGTAATTATTCTGTCATCACCCTGGACCTACTCATGAACATTGGCTTTACATAAATAAATTGCTTTATCAGTGATGCTTACTTTGATATATATTACCATTGCTACTGTTAAATGTAATTAGTGAACAAGCATGTTAAGAACTAAACTAGAGATTACCTTTTCTATGCGACATACATATCTATAGCTTAGTTTCCCAGTGATGATTGTTAGGGGAGCTGTTTAGAAGTGCATTGCGTTTCAGAAGAAAAAACATAACCACAGACGAATTAGTGGCTATGATTGTACTTGTATCAGTATAGATAGAACAACATTAAATAGCAGCTTCTTAATTTATCCTCCCTCATTTATGGGATCATCTATGCATTCAGTAAACATGAGAACAAGGTTCACTGGCAGAGATGAATAAGCCATCAAATTATTAGGTGTCGATAGAAGTGAGAAACTGAAAGAGACTTTCCACAACAAATTTTATCTCACATAACTAAGGTGACAAATTTCAGAACCATAGGGGCAAACACAAATGAAATACAGAGACAGAAATGAATTAGAGCTAGGGGTCAACAGATGCATAGACAACACTGGGCTCCTTCCTTTCAAACATTCCTTCCTCTACAGAAACTGCACAAGGCAAAGACAGATGAATCACAGTATTAGAAAGGTGTATAAAGAAAGAAATCTTAAGTTGTATTAACATCAAAAAGGCCAAGATTTAAGCACTTATTACTTACCGTAGATTTTACCATCACATTCGTGCTTCATCACAAATATACAAATAATTCGCAAGGAGAATGTTTGTTCATCCTAGCCACTCAAACTCAAAAGCACTCTTACCTATCAACTACTTCTCACTAGGCTAAAGTTCACAATTTTTTGAACACTGTAGAGCCGAAGAGAATTCAAAATACCTTGCAGCCACTAAAGGGGATGCCAACACATAAGATACTATAACAAGAAAACCAGGATAAGCTAGACCTTTATTGACACAATACTACAACACTAATAACAACAATAGCTATGGTCTATGCCTCAATCCTAAGTCCTAACACAATATTACAATATGGAATTTTTCTAAGAATGAAGGACATTGATAACACTAGAAGGAAGTGCCCAAGCTTGGGTCAATGGCAAAGCCGCCAAGGTAGTACAAAAATAAATGGGGAGGGAACAGGAAAGTTTGAATTTCAAAATGCTCCCAGGCACATTCCCCAAGAATATGACCTAACCTATCTTCCATTCCCTTTCGCTCTCTGGTGATCTTTCTGATCAGCGAAATCAACCCCTCTCGTCCTCCTCCTCTTCTTTATCTCTCCCTCCTCTTTCTTCTGATACCCACTTCTCCATTGATTCTCATCCCTCTTCTCTATCTTTTCTCTCCTCTCTCTTCTGAAACCCTTTTCACCATTGATCTGATGGAATTATTTTGCTGTGGGCTTCTAGTCTGATCTTATGATGTCTCAAGAATTTCAGGTGCACAGGGGGACTTGTACGAATGGACCGAAAGGAGTAGGAAGTGCATCACTAGAACCCAGTTTACCAAGAGAACAATGATATGGTTGATACAAAGGCTGAAATAAGCTTCTATGGTAAAAGGGAACTCGGTCAGAAGGTGGAAGAGGTGAGAAATTTTCTCTGAAACTTATTGTGCAAGGAATTTCAACAAGTTTGGACGATACATCAGCATCATAAACTTGAAAGGCAGAAGAAGATCAATGTTGATAATCCCTGAAATAACCTTTAAATCAGGTTGGATGTTCATTGCAGCAAAGGTGGAAAGATTTATTAACTTCCACAGGAATGAGAAAGTTCCAATGGAACCTAGATTGACTGACAAGAACATCCCTTACGCTGATGCCCTTCGAAGTAGTAAATGGTCCAACATAGGGTAAAGTTCATTCAATGCAGAAATCTCATTGAAGGGGGGAGTAGTTTGCATTAATGACGGACCCAACAAACAAAATGAAGTTCTTAGTAGAACTTTGGTTGGCAACTTCAAGGATGTGGATACACCATCCCTCTCAGAGATTAGAAGATGGTCCTCTAGCATGTGGAAGCAAATCTTTGGGCTGAACATATATGAAATGGGAAATAAAATTTTCCTTTTTGAGTTTTCCTCGAAAGCAGCCGCAGAACAAGTGATGAATGGTGATTGGCTTTGGAAACAAATGCACATCAGGTTCAATGGTGGAGCCCTACGGTTGGAGCAATTGAAGAAAAAGCAAAACCTAATTCAACATGGATTAGAATTGTTGGCCTGCCTCTTCATCTTTGGTCGCAGAAAAGTTTCAAGGCCATTGGAGATTTTTATGGCGGCTGGATAGAAACAGAGGAAGAAACACAACTAAGAAATCATCTAAAGTGGGCCAGAATCAAAATCCTTGGAGATGGAACATCTATCCCAAAGGAAGTGACTATCGAGAGTGGTGGATTTTTCTTCACAACTCAGATATGGGCAGAAGCGCCGGTGAGATTTCACGTTGGAGAAGGGGAAGAAGAAGGGGTTCAAGTCTTGGACTAACATATATTGAGGGAAAACACAAAGGGTAAAGAAACAACTCATAACAGCCTGTCTCTTAAAAAGTTAGTGCTCCCAGCACGTGTGCCCCCACGTGAGGAACTTTTTAAAAAAAAATTGGGCCAGTCCCACATATCTTATGCTGAAGACGCAAATAGAGGCCCAAATTTTCTCTCTTTGGACCAAACTCGATTTTCCCAACCATCAGTCTCTTTTAATAAACACATGGTTGCACATGAAGCTCTCAAATCCCCCTCTAAAGATCTAAACGATCTTAAAACTTTGGCTTCTAATTTCTTAGAAGCGCTCAAAGACTGGGAGTTATCTGTAACAGAAATTGGAAACGTCAAGAAGATTGCAAACACCACAAAAAATAAAGAGGCTCGCACGCAGAATGAGCAAAGCACAAAGATTAATGAAATTGACTAGAATGTTGAATCTCCTAAGTTCTCAGAAGGAAAAGGAATATAGATGAAGACACCTCTGGGGTAGAAATGATAGGAACAAACATGCAGCTACAACAAATTCATGATGTTGAACTTGTAGCCACACATAATCTGATTGACCAAGAGGAAATCGAAACAGAGGCATCAAATTGGGTAAATTCCCACATTATAGAACTGAGCAATACTTACGGGGTAGCTTTTGAAGGCTTTGAAAAGGAGACTAGCACTCCTCATGAAGATTGATGAGAGAAAGGTTGCATTGGACAAAAAGGACCAAGGGAAATCAAGCACGACACCGAAAAGCAGGAGGATTGGAAAGAATGAACTGAAAAATCTTCAATCCAGTCTTAATAAAGAGGTAGAAGGTGGTCGGAGTAGAGGGAGAGTTCTCAGTTTGACCTTTAATGATAGTTAATCTTGTCACTTGGAATGTAAGGGGACTTAACAGTACTTCCAGTAGAAATCTTGTTAAGTGCTCTTTACAGGAGTGAAAGGCGGATGTATACTGCTTTCAAGAAACTAAGGTGAGTAAGGATGTGGAGGGTATGGTCATGTAGATGGATGAGATGTGGCTACATAGAAGCTAATGGTAGCAGTGGGGGGATATTGTTTATGCGGGATAACATAATTTGGGTTGGTACCATGATGGAAGTAGGGCAACACTCGATAACATACAAGTTTGTCTCGGTGCAAAACTCTTTTACTTGGGTATCTCACTGGGGTTTATGCACCCCATACCAGAGGTGAAAAGTTAGAATGTTGGGAAGAAATTGCAGCAATGAAGGAACTGTGTGAAGGTCCTTGGATTTCCTGTGGGGACTTTAATACAGTCAGATACATGAGAGAAAGAAGAGGATGCAATAGGATCACAAATGTTATGTCTGATTTCTCTAAGTGGATAGAAGATATGGAACTTCATGATCCCCACTTGAATGGGGGAAATTCACATGGTTCAGGGGAGTCAATCACCAAAGTGCTGCCAGGTTAGATAGATTTCTCTATTCCATGGAGTGGGAGGAAGCTTTTAAAAATATCAGCTAGAAGATACTACCTAGAGTGATTTCTGATCATAGCCCGATTATGCTTGAATGTGGGAATTGGGAGCAGAAAAGCTCTTACTTTAAGTTTGAAAACTGGTGGCTCAATGTGGAAGGCTTCAATAATATGGTACAGGGATGGTGGAATGGGTTTGTGGTGGAAGGTTGTCCAGATTACAAATTTAGCATCAAACTAAAGATGTTGAAACAAAAACTCAAAGAATGGAGTAAAACAACCTTCGGTGAGTATACCAATAAGAGGAACAACTTGTTAGAGGAGCTGGCTGAAATTGATATGACTCAAGATGGTAGGGACCTGACTGAAGATGAAATGATGGTAAGAGCAACAATATTAGTGGAATTGAAGGTCCTGGCCAAGAATGAAGAGGCTAGTTGGAGATCGAAATCAAGAGTTTTATGGTTAAAACAAGGAGATAACAATACTAAAATTTTCCAACGAATAGCAACAGCTCACAGAAGATACAATACTATTGATAGGTTGGTGGTAAGGGGGGAGGAAGTTCAGGACCTTGCAAAGATTAAGGTGGCCATGATCGACTTTTACAAAGATCTGTATACAGAATCAGAGACATGGAGACCTTCTTTTGAGCTTATGGATTGTCTAAAAGTTTCCCGAAAGGAACAAGAGTGGTTGGAGAGGCCTTTTACAAAAGCAGAAGTACTACAAATTGTTAAGCAATGTGATGGAGATAAAGCTCTAGGCCCGGATGGTTTTACCATGAATTTCTTCAAAATATGTTGGGAAATATTGAGAGAAAACCTGATGCAGACTGTCTAGAACTTTCATCATAATGAGATCTTTGAGAAATCTTTTAATGCCACCTTCATAGCTCTAATTCCAAAAAAGATAGGAGCAGAAGAATCAAAAGATTTCAGACCTATTAGTTTGATAGGAGAAGTGTACAAAATCATCTTTAAACTTATCACTGAAAGGTTGAAAACTGTCATGGGGAAATTGGTAGATGAATACCAAATGACCTTTTTGAAAGGAAGGCAGATTCTAGATGCAACTATGTTGGCCAATGAACTGGTGGACTCTAGGGTGAAACAAAAGACACTTGGAATTCTGTGTAAGCTTGACATTGAGAAGGCCTATGACCATGTCAATTGGAATTTCCTTCTTAAAATTCTAAAAGATATGGGGTTTGGCAACAAATGGATCATATTTTGCATATCCAATGTGAAATTTTCACTTATCATAAATGGGAGCACTGAAGGTTTTTTTTAAGTCCCAGATGGGATTGAGGCAAGGATACCCTATATCTCCCTTTCTATTTTTACTGGCAATGGAAGGATTAAGGGAGATGCTTTGGAGGTTACACATCTCCTGTATGCAGATGACTCATTAGTTCTTTGTGAAGCCGAGGAGATTTAAATCAGGCACCTAAGGGCAATTCTCACCATTTTCGAAGGTATTTCTGGATTACATGTTAACTGGAATAAGAGTTCCCTATTTCCTGTCAATCAAGTTGACAATATGCAATCCTTAACCGAGACTCTCGGTTGCCAGGTAGCTTCCCTACCTACAAAATACCTTGGAATACCACTGGGAGCTAAGAACAAAGAGTTGGAAGTAAAGATGTGAAAATAAGCTTACAAGATGGAAGAGTCGATATTTATCCCTTGGAGGGAAGTTGACACTCATTAAATCGGTGTTGGATGGCCTTCCCATTTATATGATGAGTCTTTTCCCAATACCTAAAATCATTGAAAAGAGAATCAATCAACTGAGAAGATCTTTTATCTGGCAAGGAAACAAGGAGAAAAAAGGGTACAACCTGGTGAAGTGGGATATCCTAACACTCAACAAAAAATAAGGGGGCCTAGGTGTAAAGATTCTCAGCAAACAGAATGCATGCCTACTACAAAAATGGTTATGGAGATTTTGCATAGAAGATATGGCTCTGTGGAGAAGGTTCATCACCGAAAAATATGGGTTGCTCAATTAGTGGACAACTGAGGAGGTTTTGGGTACTTTTGGGTGTAGTGTATGGAAAACCATCAGGAAATTATGGACGAAATTCAACGTCAATATTTCATTTAGAGTGGGTGATGGAGCGAAGATTGATTTTTGGAATGAGCTTTGGATAGGTGATGATACTCTAAGAAGCACTTTTCCTCAACTATACATCATAAGCCTTCAAAAAAATGCCACTGTATCTCAGGTTTGGAGCTAGCAAGAATGGAACTTGATTTTTAGTAGAGCTTTGAATGACTGGGAAATTGATGGAGTAGCAGGCCTGCTTGAGGCTTTAAACTCCTTTTCAGGTATCTCTATGGGGCCAGACAAACCAGTTTGGAGTCTACATAGTAGAAGTTTTTTTTACCCTAAAATCTTGCTACTGGAAGATGAACAACAGGCAATCTTTGATAGATATATGGCCCTGAAAGTTAATTTGGAAAGTCAAAAGCCCACGGAAAGTTTCATGTTTCTCTTGGCTTGTGATCAGAAGAGCATGTCTAACTCATGAGGTGTTACAAAGAAGAGGTTTACATATTTGCTCAATGTGCTTTATGTGTGATCAGGAAACAGAGGTAAATAGTCATTTGTTTCTACACTGCAAAACAACTGCAAATATGTGAAACATGTTCTTACGTATTCTGGGAGTAAGTTGGGTAATGCCTAAAACCACCCTAGAGCTACTCAACAGTTGGAAAGGAATTGGAAGAAGAGGGCAGGGCAAAGATTGGTAGATGAACATTCCAATTTGTATCTGGTGGACTTTATGGAAGGAAAGAAATACCAGATGTTTTGAAGGCAAAAGCTGCAACGCACAGAAGATCAAAATGAAATGCCTAAGCCTTCTATTTTTTTTTGTGTAAACAGAATATGGTGGGGGAGGTAGTAACTCTAGTTGGTTTCATAGGCAAATTGTAAAGCTTTTTAGTTTTGTGAAGAATGTGTCCCACCCATTGTGGGTTGTAAGTGCCCCACCTCATCATTCTTTTGATGATGATTTTTTGTGAATACAAAGTTACTTTCTCAAAAAAAGAAAAAGAAAAAGATGTGTAGTCGGCGCATATCGTGAGTTCGAATCTAGTCGTGGAATCAAATCTAGTAGTTCAGTACAAAATGGTACAGTTGTTGGCTTTTATTCATCAAATTTCAAGGGTAGACACATCTAATTTCTACAACACCATACCTATTGTAATCCCATAAGTGAATACGCAGACCTTACTCAAAAGAAAAGTTTTTGAAGTAGGAGCCAAAAAATATGATAGCAAAATAACAAGATACAAAACAAATGAAGCAACAGATAAGTACTACACACTAAAAAATGAGAAGATATGCAACTACTAAATAATACTACTAGTACTGAGAAGAGAAACGTAGGAGGGGATCACCCCCTACTCTCTCACATGAAGTGAGACAATACTCGATTTTCTACCATCACTCAACCCTAATCCTCCACCACCATACAGCTATCTAAGGTCTTGGTAAATCGAACTTGTGTCACTTGTCTAATCACCTCCACCCCCCCCCCCTCTCGGTTCATTTTTAGCCTACCTCTACCTCTCCGAACACCTGCCAAAACCAATCTCTCACACCTCTTCATTGACGCCTCCACACACCTTTTTTTTCACATGACAAAATCATCTCAACCTTGCTTTCGTCATCTTGTCCTCCATGAGGGACACTCTCATCTTACCTTGTATAACTTCGTTCTTAATGATATCTCTCCTAGTATGTCCACACATCTATTTGAGCACCCTCAATTTCGCTACTTTTATGTTATGAAGGTGTGCATTCTTGACTGGCCTAGACATTGCCTCATACAAGTACAACCAATGTTGGTCTAATCTGACCACCACTCTGTAGAACTTACTTTAAGCCTCGAAAACACATACTTATCACTTAGTACCCCAAAAGTGAGCTTCCATTTCACCTACCCCGCTCCAGTCCAATCCGATGTGCCTTATACAACAAACACAAATCCTATGTCCCTTACCATATTACAGCTAAACACATAAACATAAACAATTAAAAATATTATCAAGTTGACTCAATAAGAAATTCCAAGTCTCTGTAGAACTGGAGAGAGTGAATTAAACCAGTTTGTAATCGTTCTATTCCAAGATCAAGGTACACTCGCAAATGTATCTAATTTTCCAATTCAGACATGATTATTTTAAAAGCACATCATAGAATTGCAATGGAAATTAATTTATTAGCTTTCATACTATTAATTTGCTTAAACGAAAAAATAATTACCCGATTAGGAATCTAGAGCTCAAGCACGGGTTCTTCTTTCTGATTAGAAAAATAGTGCAGGATATAAGGGGTGATTCGAATTACGGCAACCCAAACTCCAAAGAGGGCCACATGAGTCCCTAGCTGCTTCAGAGCATCTGCCTTTTCAGGTTTACCCAACTTTGGAGGCATCGTTTCGTCTTTGCGGATTTCTCTTCTCAGAACTAAAACCCTAGCCTAGCCTTGATTACTTCACCATCAATCAAACTTGTTGTTCAAATATATGGACTACTAGGCCGGGTTTGGAATAAATCTGGCCTGTTTAGTTTACAATATCTTCCAAAATGTCGAAAATGATATTCAGTTAGGGGTGTCAACATGAGCCCAAATATAGGTAATTCGTCCAGAATTTTATGGGCTGGACTTAAGATAATTTGAATTTGGTTCAATCTCAACCTATTGAGGCCTTAACCCATTTTAAAAGAACCCTCAATTGAGCCCCATTTAATATGCAATTTCAACCCGTTTGAAGACTCTTTATTTCCATTGATGTAATGTATGATTCTATATTGAATGTATGAATTATTATCTATTTATATCTTCTAGGATTTATTTATCCATTTATAACTCTTTTTTTTAAAATTCTTAAGTTGAAATTAAAATTGTGGTTATAAAAGTTAAATAACAATATGTTTAAGTTATTGAGACTAAGCAAGTCAAATTGGACTGGTCATAACCCAGCATGATTTTTAGCCCATTTGAACACAACCCATTTGAGCCCAAAGTAAACTTGGGCGGATCATGATCCAACCCAATTTCTATTTCAACTCATTTCAATATCTCGAATTTCAACTAAACCTACCCATTCGACACCCTTATATTTAGTAGTATAAGATAACTTCAAACAAAATGGTATATTTTTTCTTCTTCTTTTTATTCTTACTTATTGTATAACACAATTTTTTAAAATTTATAGCAATTACCCTTCGGGGTGGCCCAGTGGTTTGGGCTTGGGACTTCCATGTTGGAGGTCTCAAGTTCGAAACCCCTTGCCAGCGAAAGCAAGGGGTTTGCCTTCTGGGTCGAGCTCGTCGCACCAGGCTTGCCTAGTGTGGGTTACCTCTCCTATTTGGTTTGCGAGCTATTGCATAGGAGCGGGGGTTTTACCCTGTGCGCACCCAAAGGGTAGCGGCTGCGGGTTTCCCTTGTCATCAAATTTTTTTTTTATAGCAATTAAAATATGATATTTTGATCAAGTGGGTATTAAATTTTAAATATAAAAAAAGAGCTTACATCAAACGGGTCTTGTAAATATGGACAAATCTTTACTATTATGTCAAGACTCTGATCTGTTGTGATTGACAGCCACACTAACCTTCTGGTGGGAGAATCAACTATCAACCCAAACCTAACACATCAAACCATTTTAAAATCAAGTTATGATATAAAATACTAAGAAAAGAGTCTTAAAACAATTAGAAGTTTGAGTTTCCATAAACTCAACCAGTCAATTAAATCAATTACAGAATAAACTCCCTAGAACCTAAAAGTCATAGTACCAAAACATCTAATAGTCTAGGATAGGGGATGCAACCCAAAAAATAAAGAATAAAAACATAGAAGGTTTGAGTTCGAACAGTGGATTAAGAAGGAAAGAGGAATCCAGAGCAACCCGGGGGAAGTGACTCACCCTTGGAATCAGATAGTAGAGGTCTCACAGTTGAGGTCTCTAAACAACCTTCATAATATGTCTTGTACTTAACAAAGAAAAAACAAGTGCAATATCAGTGAACAATAATCGTGTACTGGTACAATCATCGGCTGGTTCCAATTGTATAAAATATGAACAAGCAACCCCAACTTAGTAAAATAGATAACATACGATTGAATCACAATCATAACATATCCCGGAATCTCAGTCCTCACCCTGTGTTGATATGCATAACAAACATGAACAACCACAACACAACAAGCCAACATGGTTCTCTCACGGAAACCACACAAAAACTGTCAGTGTATCAGTGTGGTACTCGAGCCAACCATTTATGGATATCTCTGTACCACAATGGTATTTGAACCAACCGTTAGTATATATCATGCGTGATATTCAAGTCAACTATAGGGATATCATGTACCATGCATGGTACTCGAGTCAACCATCAAACACACATCACAATCACAACCACAATGAATAACAGTCACACTTGTATACCCAAGTAAACACATTCATTGCATGTGATTGCCAATATTTTACGTTTCAATTCATACTCTTTCCTCCCTATTCATATATCATTCATATAATACTAATTAAGTAGTTGACAAACATATATAACATAAACGAGAAAACAAACAACCATCATCTACCTCGAATCAAGCCTTGGAAGCTCTTTTGAGCCTGAAACTAAGACTTGTGATGAATTCTAGTTTGTTCTTGGTCTAAAACAATACAAAATACACAATCAATAAATAAGGGCCTAAAAATACCCGAATTATAATCAAATCCTAACACTCATATGATTTCCATGATAAACCCTACCCAAAGGTCTTTCCACCATTAGTTCAAGTCAAACTTTGCCCTAAGGTCACCCAATAAGGATCTTAAGGCCTCAAAATCACAATACCAAAGTAGGGAAAGTAATTAACTTACCTTTATCAATGAAATTGATGGAAATAGGTTGAAATTCACCCCAAGGCGGCCCTTTCCTCTACCCAAAACAAGTTTGTAGAATTATGAGCGATTTAGGGGAAATTTCTACATAAACTCGCGACTAACTCCACTATAGCATTTTCGCCATAGCGGGACCACCCGCTATAGCAGGAATTAATTCCCCCGCTATAACGGATTCCATGGGACAAAGACTTGAAATTCTCTCCAAAAGTCCATATTTTGCAAAAACACCTTCGAACCTTGATGTTCAAAACTAACCTTTTCACGTCAAGTTCGATATCAAGAATTTTACTTATTCGAATTCGATTATGAAAAGTCTTATAGTTTCCTTAATGGCTTAGCTATTAGAAAAACTAATTTAAGTTTAAACATTTTACCCAATCTATTTCCGGATTGTCCTAGACCTCACCTTGCTCAGATTAAAGAATGTCCAAATTTGGGCGTGAGGGGGAAGAGTGATGAATGGAATGTCCCACATCGATATAAGGCTTGGGCAATTCTTCTACCTTTGAGCTAACTTTTGAGTGTAAGTTAAGACTAAAACCTAATTTAACAACTTATTAGAATCAAACTCATGAAGTTCGATATTACCCCCGAACTATGAGGAGGTTGTGAATATACTCATGGTCCATGATTATGCACACCCCAAATTGGACAGTGTATACCAGATAAAAAATATTTGAATCTAGGCATGATGAGGAAGGGTGAAGAATGGAATGTCCCACATTAGTGAATGAATAGAATCTTGGGCTTAAAACTCCTTATAAGACTTTAGCAATCCTCATTCCTTTGAACCTATTTTGAGTTGTGACGTAGCTCAACACCTAATTAAATATGATATTAGAGTCAGACCCAATGTGAGATCCCAAGATATCGAAAAATTGTGGGGGTGGGGGTGGAAATACCTCCCCACCGTCCGTCCATGAATGTGCATGAACTAGATCAGATAGTGAAATCTCAAATAAAGAATGTCTGAACTGGGGCATATAGGTGGGAAGCGATGATGAATGGAATGTCCAATCTAGACATTCTTTATTGGGGGCTTCACTATCTGGTCTATTGTGTGCACATTCAGGAACGGGAGGAGGGGATAGTGATGATGAATGGGTTGTCCCACCTGATGAATGAACGTAATCCTCGAATCCTTAAGGTGTGGGTTAGGACAAAGACCAATATAACAGATGTCCAACATTGAAAAATTGAGAATAAAATGTGTTTGAGTTTAATTACATGTAAAAATTGAACCTTTGTCTTAATTCTGCGTAAAATATTTATGGAGAAAGTAATTTTAAGAGTCAACAATAATTGAGTGATCCTTCTTTTAAAAGTTTTCTTAAGTCATAATAATGATTTTTTTTAGCACTCGAATTTAAGCTAGAGTAATTTAATATATGGGATTTGGAAGGGTGATATGTAAGAAACCTTACCCCTACTTTTTAAAGCTAAAAGTGCTTTTTTTGTTAGATTTTTTATTCAATTTGAAATAAAAAGAAACAAGATTTTATTAGTAAATTTTGTTTATGTTCCAAGATGGAGAAAATGAATATGTTTCTTTTAAAATTTTGATTACTTCTTGTCTTATGAGTAAATATTTTAGGCAGAATTAAGACAAATGTTCAATTTTCATATGTAATTAAACTCAAAAAAATTTTTGTTCTCGATTTTCTAATGTTGGACATTTGTTATATTACGTCTTTGACCTAACTCTTAACTCTGTAATGTCCATCTACCATGGATCTAAGCCATGGATATAGAGATCTGCAAAGCAGCTAAGCCATGGATATAGAGAGCTGCAAAGCAGCTAAGAATAAACAACTAAGATGGAGAAGAAAAATAGTTTACAGAGAAAAGGAAGAGTAGGAGCAACTTTTGGATGGCTTTTGGACGGACCCTAATCTATTTTATCACTAAAGAGTAAGAGAAAAATTAAAAGAATCCGTATTTTCTAGGTTCCGTCTCATCAGACCCGCTATAGCAGTTGGCACGCTGCTACAGTGGCGTCGTTATAGCAGGAATATTTCCGCTATGATAGGATGAAGTCAGCTCGGGTCAATTTTAAATTTCAAAATTTTCTTGTATCATCCCCATTTTTAAAGTGACGTGTATTTTTAAAAAATTCAAAATTTCGCACGAGGTGCCTTTTGAATAACGACGGAGTATGTCGTTACAACAAAACTAAAAATTATTATCGTTTAGATTTTCTTTTAGTTTTATTATTTTCCTAATATTGTAATATTCTCTTTCCTAATTTTATAAGAATTATTATATTTAAAAAAAAATAAAAAAATCGCTCCTTCCTTTTTTCTAAAGATAAAATGTGACTTTAAAATTAATGTGATAATATCTCTTCAACTAATAATAAAATTATTGTATTTACTAGAAGGGTTCAAGAACGCTTGTTGAATAATTATATTAATCAAAATTTTAATACTCTGCTTGGTATATTTATGATGAAGTCTTATAAACCTCGAAAAGACACTTTGTAAGAAGTTGGCAAAATGTGATGAAGAAAAATTGTGAAGAATGATAAATAATAATAATAATAAGTTTATCAACTAGTTGGATTGACTACACGAGGAAGGACAAAAAAGAAAATTCAAAAGGTAATAATTGTTATTCTATACCAGTTTCAGATCCAAAACCTATTCCTGCTAATCTTGATGCATTGTCATGGGATGAAGATACTAATATTTTTAATTTTTGGGACAATACTCCAGAGTTAGCTATGCATGATGCACATATTAAGGC